GACCTCACTGAGCACATTAGCATTAATTCAACAAACATTCATTGAGTCCCTTACTGGGGGTCTACCAGAGATGATTTTGTCACACCTCTCCCCTCAAGATACTTGCAGACAAGTGAGATGCATGTGTTCGTGTATGGAAAGAGAACTATGAAAAAATAATGATATGAACCAAGTGCCTGCTAGGTGCCCAGGCCTTTTCCATTAATTATTTATTTGGGTCATCACTGTAAACCAGCGAGATGTATACTTTACCTTCATTTTTATCACATGATGAAACTCAGTTTCAGAAAGTTAAACTGCATCAGATCTGATCTCAAAGCCTATGCTTTGCCCACCCTGGCATATCACCTATGGGCCATTCAGTAGAGGAGTATCAAGAACCTCTGTGTAACTGGTGTAGCCTCTGTGTACTGGGTAACATCCTAGATTACTACAAAGCAGAGGTCTCCTTAACCATGGTTCTGCTTGGGTCCTGTTCCTGCATATCATTGTTCTTAGGCTCAAAGTAACCCTTACCCACCAGTTCCAAACTATAATCACTTGGCAACTTCCAACGGGCCAGACTGGCTTCAGTCAAAATTAAATGAAATCTATGACATGCTTTCTCTTTTCACTCAAAACCAGTGCAGGGTTCATGGTCTCCTGACCAAGTGAGTGGGAGGAAACTATGCTTTGCTTTCTAATTAACTGACATCTTTCACCTGACAACTCACTGAAGCATCTCTAGGCTTCAAGGACCACAGTATGCAAAGTGAACGTGAAAATACCTAACATAGATATAGACCCTAACAACTGATATATGATCCAAAATTGTCAAAGTGACATGTGGAGACTAATCAGGCTCCTAGAGACACCAAAAACTCTTTGGAAAGACTTGAAAATTCACATGAGAAGTGTGCCAGACCTTTTGTGATAGAAACAGTTTTTATGGATGCTACTTAACAATCCCTGAGAGTGGTGTTAGCGATTGGCAGGGAGGGAGTTAACTGAACATGCCCCAGAGCCATCCAGAATTTTCAGCGAAGAGGGTGTTCACTCTGCTGTGAACCCCAATTAAAAATAAAACCCCTAGCTGGGTGAGCCCGCCCCGTCCTTAGGATAAACAAGATTTGATTCACTGCAATTGCATCGCACTAACTGTGTTGTAGAGTAATACAGTATATATGCCTCCTCTAGGGAGGCACAAAAGAGGCGGCTTAATTATCATCTAGCCAGAAGGATGGGGCATAGTTAACACCTTTCTGGGTGGGCTGAAATTAATGACCCCTTCCCCCCACTATTGCCTACCTCCAAGCCCCTTTATAAATGACTATACAACACAGTAGTTGGTATTCAGATCACAAGAGAGGGCATTTAGTGAAAGCATTTGTCTATAGAGTTTGATCTCTTTTTAATTTTATTCAGATTTACAACTATGTTATTAAGTACGATAACTGGATCCTGTCTGAAGTAGATCAGGGCCTTCCCCACTCACATCTGAACATCTGAAGTTAACATTAATTTTCGAGATTGGATGGAATGCTTTTTCCCTAAGTGTTTTTGTGGCTGCTTCCCCATAGCCACACTGTGGGGCTGTGTGTGCAGCCTGCCTGCACACTTCAGGCAAAGAGAGTGGGCTTTGGGGACAGAAAGATTGGACTTGTGAAGTGTGTTGTAGAAGCTTTAAAATTTCACAGATGGTCAAATGGCTGGGGAATTTGCTTTCTCTTTGGGCAAGGAGAGAACTGCTATAATGAATAATGATATTTGGATTTAATCTAGCATTTTCTTCTTCAAGTATATAGATACGTATGTTATATGCATATGTAGGTACATACATCTACCTAATATTTAATATCATTACCTCCTTAAGCCATGCTTTTGTGGTTCACAAAGTGATGAGGGCAAGACTGATGATGTCACAGATGTCCTGTGATGTCATTAGGTCATGTGGTAATCCACACTACAATCTTGAAATAAGGATACTATTAGCCTCACTTTACATTTGAGGAAAGTGACCTTTCAAGCCTAAGTGATTATTTCAAAGCTAATGAGGATTAGAGGGAAGACTCAAACCCATTTTTTTCTGACTCTAAATTCAGTGGCAATTATTTACGCCGCCTTTTCTGGAAGTAAAGTTGTGGTTATAAGGAGTCCAGCTTCTCGCTCTCTTGATTTCCTTTCTCTCGAGTGGCATTAACAGTGTAGTGGTCAGGTGCCCTGGGTTCAGCTCGTTCTTGCTAACTCTGTGTGCTACTTGGGTGAAGTATTTAGCCTCTTTAAACTTGGTTTCCACATGTGAAAAGGAGAATGACAGTACTTACTTAGTGAAAATTTCCCGAGGACAGAATAATGCAGGAAAAGTGCTTCGAGTACGTTCTTAGTAAATAACACATTCCACTCCTGTGGAGGTTCATGTGGGTTCTTTAGATGACAAAGCATTTCATTCTTTGTGTGCCCACATAGTATTTCCTATGAATCATTAGATCTTGACTCAAAAAAAAAAAAAAAAAAAAAAAAAGGAGCACCTTTTGAAGATCAAGACCTGAAGGAGGAGATTTCATAATTGTTTTTTCTGGTGCACTATATTATGATATTTATTCAGATTGTTAGATGGGAACAGAATCATTCTCTCTATCCTCCCACTCCTGAAGCCTGTATGGATCACTTTGTTGAGACCCTGAGGCCAGGGATGTAGCCTTTTAAGGCTTTAAGGGTGGTAGTCAACATATCATGAGTGTTTCTAAAGTGAACAATTACAGAGACAATTAGGCTAAGTATATATAACCTAGGAGGTCAGGAAAGAGGTAATTGGGTCAGGTTTTGTTGAATGTTTTGCTGCTATTTTAGCTGACTTTTATAGATCTCATAAAGCAGGTGTCAGTTCTTATATTAGGGAAGCCCAAAGATATCACATAAGCTTCTAACAATCAGTATTAACATCTCTTTCTAAAAAATTTGTTTCCTCTCACAATGATGATTTTATGAAATTAACAGAAGTTCAGAAAATACTCATGTTGAAAAAAAAATCCTCCTCCGTTATTCAAAACACTTACTCCAGGGTCCCTTCATTTATTCAGAAGTTTTTAAAAAATAAGTACATACTATGTGCTAAGCATTGGAATAGATACTTGAGATTCAGTAGTGAGTATAGAGCTTCTCTGTTTTAATGGAGCCTACATTCTAGGGCAATAGACAGACCATTATCAAATAAGCACAGTAAGGAACATCTAAAGACATCTAGAGATGAAATAAGTAAGTACAAAGGAGGTAGGAAAATAGCTCTATGGAAAGAGATAATAATGAAATATGACCTCATCGGGAATGGGAGATTCTGAGAAAGGCTTTCCTAAAGTGCATGAAACTTGCACGGCTTAAGATCTAAAAGATGGGTAGGAAAGAACTAGATGGGATGAGAGGGAGTTTTAGAAAAAGAAGGATGAACGTGTGTAAAATTCTGTTGGTGGGAAAAAGAGAAGCTTGTTAGAGGTCCAGAAGGAGCCAATAGGGCTGGAGGAAAGAGAATGAAAAGGAGGGAGAAGTGGGACTCAAAAGCTGGAAAGATAACCAGTAACTAGACCATGCAGTACTACCATGAAGATTTTGTTTTTCCCATAAGATGACTAAGAAACCATTCCATAGTGCTAAGTCCTCTACTAGAATCAGATTTGTCCTTTAAAAATGTTATTTGGACTGCCATTGGAATAATGGACTGTGGGAGACAAGTACAGCATGAAAGAAAGACAGTTTGGAGGTGGTAGTAGAGATAATGAAAACAAGTAGATGGACCCAATAAATATTTTGCAGGTGAAGTTGAAAAATTTGGGCAATGGCTTGGCTAGTTCTGGAGGTGAAGGGTGGGGAATCCAAGGACAATTCTATAACTGAATGCATGCCAGGGTTGCTCATTAAACTAGGCAACACTGAAGAAAATTGAATTTTGACTACACCAAGTTTGAGTGACATCGGGCCAAACAGGCAAGAAGGGAGGAAAGTTGTATATCTGGATTTAAAGATATTAGATGATCTTTGGATATGCATATAATATTGTGAGTCATTGGCATTTGATGCCCTAATAATTGACGCCCTGGACTTAGATGAGATCTTTTAGGGACAAAGAATGGAATGAGATGAGAAAAAGCCAAGATGAGAGACTTCAAACATTAATGACTAGGTAAGAGTGAATTATCCTGCAAAAGAAACTGTGAGCAAGAGAAGTAAGTAAGAAGTAAGAAGTAAGTAAGAGAAGAATCACCAGGATGCTGTGTCATGAAAATAAAAAGAGGAGGGAGTGATTAAGAGCATAAAATGCTCTAAGAAGTCAACACCAGAGGTGCCTGGGTAGCTCAGCCAGTTAGGGGCAGAGGTGGAAGACAAGAGAGAACCTCCACTGAGCATGGAGACCCATGTGAGGCTTGAATCCATGACCCTGAAATCATGACAAGAGCCAAAATCAAGAATGGGATGCTTAACTCACAGAGCCACCCAGGTACCCCCAATGAGGAACTCTTGATTTGTACCCCCAACCTCCCAATTTTCTCCTCTCCTAGCCATCTCCACCCCATTATACTAGAGTCTCTCTTGCAGAAAAAACCCTCAACATTTTCCTTGACTTCTTTGTCCCCATATTCAGCCAGGGAGAAAATCCTACTGGCTCTTTGATAGACATTTGTCAATATTTCTGACACCTCTGCTACCCTGATCATGCCACTAAGGTCTCTTGCTTGGACTATTGCAGTAGCTCTGCAAGTTCTGTTTCTGGATATTCTCATGTACAATTTCCCACATGAAAGCCAAAGCAGTCTTTAGAGGCTTTTCCCAGCTTTCACATCTCAAGTAGCTACATTTTCTTTGACATTGGCTGTTTTATTTCCTTCACAGCACATGCAGTGATCATTTTCTGGCAACTCCTAAATATTTCTTTCCTTGTTTGTTTTATGTCTTTTGTGTTTTTCCCATCATAATCCAAGTTCCATGAGAAACAGAGATGTTCACTGTTGTGTTTTCAGTGACTTATACAGTATCTGGAATATAGTATAAGCTCATTTAAAAAAGTTTTGAGGTCCCGCTCCACACGTGGGCTCGCCTCCCGGTTGCCGCCGGCCCCAGGCCCGCGGTTCCTGGCCCTCGCCTCCCCGGTCCCGTCGGCGTCCCGCGTCTCCAGCGCCACGCTCTTCTATTCCTTTTTCAAGTCCCTGGTGGGCAAGGATGTGGTCGTGGAACTCAAGAATGACCTGAGCATCTGTGGAACCCTCCATTCTGTGGATCAGTATCTCAACATCAAACTAACTGACATCAGTGTCACAGACCCTGAGAAATATCCTCACATGTTGTCAGTGAAGAACTGCTTCATCCGTGGCTCAGTGGTCCACTATGTGCAGTTGCCGGCAGATGAGGTGGACACACAGTTGCTGCAGGATGCAGCGAGGAAGGAGGCCTTGCAGCAGAAACAGTGATGGTTCCTTCTCCCTTCCCTTTCCCTCTTCTGTTAGTGACCTTTCACCTCAAGTCACAGCCTGGGATTCCTCCCTCCCATATTTGAGGGGGATTTTTTTGGTCTTTTTTTGTTGTTGTTTGTTTTCAAAGAGTGGAGGCTTTTTCTTTAAGGGATGAGTGGATGAGAATATTAATAGTGGGGAGTAGCTCTCCTCTGTTGAGGAGGGGACGATAATAGGCTGGGGAACTGCAAAGCCTGCCTTGTCCTCAGCACCTGCCTTTCTCACTCCTTCCCTGGATATGGCAGGAGAATCTCCTAGATCTCTCCAGGGCAGCATGCGATTCATTTTGGGGATGGAAGGAATCTGTCCCGCATCGGGAATAAACTTATGATGCACATTTGAAAAATAAAATAAAATAAAAATGTTTTGAATAAGGGCACCTAGTGGCTCAGTAGGTTAAGTGTCAGACTCTTGGTTTCAGGTTGGGTCCTGATAGAACCCTTCAATAATTCTGACTCTAAAGATGGGTCATACTAATGGCAGCAAGTAAGAGATGAGGATGTGCACACAGAAAGCATTATAGATGACAAATATTTGTTTCAACACTTGGATTAGTTGAAAAATGTCACATTTTAGTATTTTATGGTATGAATTCTAATTGTCAGTTTTATTACGGAAGAAGTATAAATGGATGGCATCAAATAAATATGAACAGCCTGCTGATCCTCTACTACTATTTGAAGTCTGCTGTACATTTCTATTGTTTCAGAGGTAGTCATTGCTTATTAATGAATTCAATTTCTCACCATGAATTCCATGAACTAAACATTATTGTCGGACCTGCCGAAGCAAATCCATCCCTTTCAAAATTGTAAATATTAGATTTGGATAGAAGCAATACCATGATGCTCTGCAGATGCTCTGCAGAAAGCAAAATTGATCACATCAGGAAAATTTTCATCCAAGTAAGATAAAGAAGTTGATTTGGAGAGAGTCACACAGAAGTAGGTTGTCATTTGAGCTGGGCTCTGGTAAAAAAAAAAATAGTAGTAATAATAACAAATAAATAAAAAATAAATAAATCTTGTTTGCTTTCTGCTGTCAAAAGCTCTGTAAAACAAACAAACAAACAAACAAACAAACAACCTGAACAACCTGGGGTTTCCAACTCATAAACAGAGACATCAGATTTGTGGTTGCAAGAGGTAGGGGGTGGATAAAGGTGATCAAAAAGAATGAAATTCTGATTCTAAATAAGCACCAGGGATATAAGGCACACTTCAATGTTGATTATAGTTAACAATGCTGTATGGTATATAGGGAAGTCATTTGGAGAGTAGATCCTAGGAGTTCTCATCACAAGGGAAAAAAAATGTATCTATTGGAAATATGGATGTTAACTAAACTTATTGTGGTGATCATTGCATGATATATGTTAAGTCAAATCACTATTCTATATATACCATAAACTTAGACAATGCTGTATATAAATTACATCTCATTAAAACTGGAGAATAAGATTTGGTTTTGAGGGTAGGAGTGAAGGAAGAAATGAAGTAGCATAATGAATGGGTCAGGAGAGATTTTCCACAGGTGAAGAGAAACGTGGAAAACAGGGCAGAGAAGGGGATCAGGAGAGGTATTCTAGAGTCTTAAGAAAGTCAGTCTGAAGCATAGTTGGTGAGAGAAACTGGAGCATCTCTATTGAATGTCTCCAAGTGCATAATGCCCTTCTGAGCAATACATGGTCAATTACTTCCCTGCATTGCAATAAATAATTCATTCATGGTTCTATGTAAGTAGAAAAGAAATGGCACCATTTTGACTCCCAACTGGTACTTCTACTTTTCTTCAAGGAAAATAAGTACTTCTCACCTCTGCTAACATCTTCCAATTCCAAGTAAGGCAGTAAACAAATTTCCATACCTGGCTAGCAAACAGCATATCTGCCTCCCTTTGAATTCAGAAACTGTCACTTCTGGCTTTCCTTTGTAAGAAACAGTTCCCATAACAACATGAGAAGCCAGACCTCTCAGGGACCTCCTGTGGAGCTCTGGAATCTTCTTTGCCTCAGAGGAAGGGAAGAGGATACGAGCAATCCTGCCTAGGCTTCCTTGTTGATATGCACTTATATCTGGAAGTAGGCCCATCAACATCACCAAGGTCAAGTCTACTCTGCTCTCAGGTTACTACATATTATGCAGAATTTCAAAAGGCAAAGCTATATGGTTAAATATATCAACTAATGACTAAAAGAAGGAACTATTGTAAAATATTCTCATATTCTGAAAAATGGGAAATTTCAGGGAAATTTAAGCGCTGATGTTGATACTCTATACTTTAAATACATTGTATGGATATATATGCATGAAAATATTTGCATATACACTTTAATATATGTAAGGTCCTTAGAAAAGATTAGTCACATTTTCTGAAGAATATTGATTTAGGGGAAAAATGAGGTCAACAGAATTAGGGAAGTTAGCTTATTTGTAATTGTATCTTAGGTACATAACTCTGCTGGTATAGACCCTAAAGCAAACATATTTAGAATAAAGTCCGAAATTCAGATGTGAAGCCACTGAATTAAAAAGTAACGTAGGGAAATACCTAGAAATGTCCTGTTTTTCAATAAATCTACTTCTGAGTTGCTTCTTAGTCTTTTAGTAATTTTTGTTATGGTTATTTCTACATTGCGATTAATGACTCTATTATCTCTCATTCATTATTAACATTTAGCTAGACCAAATGATTGGCTGGGGCACAGTAATATCTCTGTAATGTAAGGTTGCAACAATAGATCACTTTCTCTTCACATAATTTTATATTTCTAGACCTGATGTAATAGACCAAAGGATTCCATTATACAGGTATTTTTCATAATAATATTAAATTACCTTTACCTCTTCCATAAATTGTACATAGTGATTTGTGCTGTGCCCATCTTCTTTTCTTCTGCTAGCTGAGATGAGGATTTGCCATGTGATTTTTTTAACCCCAGCTTTCCCAAGTGCACCCATTCTGCATTTGGAAAAAAAAATAAACAAGATAATGGATAAAAAAATAGACACTATTGTTAACTGACCAACAAACACAAGATGGAACTAAAGAGATTCTACTTAAATCAGATGGTCTCGACTTAATTGTTTCCTTTTACTGTATGTAAATTGGTTTGATTTGTTACATTACACAGTACCATGAAATTTTTCATATAACTTTAAGAATTCAGATTCTATAAATCTACATTATTTTCCCTCATGTGAGCAGCGACTGAATTAAATTTAACTTTCTTCTGTCTATGCTAAAGGACAAAAGTATACTTAAAGTTACTGAAAACTTATAGTTTAATTCTTCTTACACTAATATGACAGTGGCATTTTGTTGAGTAGAATATTTGGTACTTAGGATTTGTATGATGTTTTCTCATGGTCAGGTTCAGGCGATGCATTTAAATTTAGAATATTACATAAGAGATGTATTCTCAACACATCACATTGTATATAAATAATATCCATTCCTCAGTCAGGAAGGTATTGGACTCCCACATTGTATAGTGATGATTTTCCCTTGCTATTATTCGGGGGAGACCTCTAAAAAATGTTCAATAATTCCTCTTCATCAAAATCTCCCTGCCCCTTAGAAGTATGTGTGTGTGTGTGTGTGTGTGTGTGTGTGTGTGTGTGTGTCTTCCTCTGCTTCACTTTAAGGAGTTGTTATTGTTCTGCCTGGCACTTGCATGTCCCTGCAGGAGTGTCTCTTTCCAGGTTTTGGAATGGCCATGTATCCTATGACCTCAATTATTAGATAGAGACTCAAAAAGTTATTAATTTACTCCCTACTGATTTTTCCTGTTGCAAGGATAAGAGCTTCTGTGTTTTAGCTCTGTACTTGTCCGAGCTGAAATTAGAATTCTCTGGTTTTGGCATTTGAATGTTTAATCCATCTGGGGCCGATTCTTGTCTATATGACTAATTTTAGATTTCTTATTTATATTTATACCCTTGTACTTTCATGTTTATTTTTAGATGTCATAAGGAAAGATAAAGAGTTTGAAATTGTCCTACTCCTTGGCAATGAGTAATTTCACTTTTAGGATGGTGTACCAAAGGAATACTTGGGACTCTGAAAAAATAGACCTCATGAAGACTATGCATTACAATTTGGAGCAATCTGGAAAGAATCTTTCTAAAAGTTACCTTAGACACATCTACAGCATTTCAAGCATCATTCCCATCATTCCCAGGGCCTTTTCACTAGGGACTCATTAATGATTCTTTTGCTTTAGGCCAGTGGAGTCATGAGTTTGAGTAAAATTTCTATCCTAGTCTTTCTTTTATATTTGTCTCTTCTTCAATCCCATTCTTGTCTTCCCCTGTCTGGTCACTTTCTTGTATCTGTAGGAAAGTTTCAATCAATCTACTGCCTGTAGTGAAAAGGACTTAAGATTGGGAATCAGAACGATCTGGGTTTGCAGCTAGATTGTCAGACTTTGGTCCTGTTATTGAGTCCCTAAGGCACTCAATTTTTACATCATTGTCCCATATACTAGAAGGCTATTTTAATTATTACCAGCTTATGACATTTTTCTCCTTTTAAACATAATCTTCTCCAATCTGGTTCTTCTCTGAGGTTACCTATACCATAGTATGGGTCTCTCAGTTCCAGTTCTTCATATGCCTGTAGAGCCTCACCAACTTCAAATTCTCTCCCCTTAAATTATCGTGGCCATTTCTGAGTCTTCCATGCCATGTGTAAAATGAGAATTTCCAAATTCTTCTCCCAGTTTTGAACTTCTTTAATGCCAGCTGGAAGCCAATGCCTATGAAGCATCTTCACTCGCCGATCCAACAGTTGCTTTAGGCTTAACATTTTCAATATAAACCCTTTGCTATCCACCAGGTAATATGCTTCACTCGCAATGATCTTCTTTTTAATAAATAGCATCAACCTTTATCCAGTTGTTTTGAACCAAGTAATTTGGAGTTATTCTTGACTCTTCTCTTTCTTTACATTCCATGTCCACTGTCAGCAAGTATACATCCTGAATCCTTTGAAACATATCCACCATAACACCCTAGTTACACCAGCGTCAGCCCTCACCTAGAAAATGAAAATTCTCTCCTAACTGATATGTTCTGGGAGTCAGGACCTGCATAGTCTGGATTCTGTAATAGGCTCTTCTGGCCCCACTGGAACTATTTCTACCACTCACAACCCATTACTTCCAAATGCTATATATCTGTCTCATGAACCTTGCTCATCATGATGTTACCACTTTCTGCACTTTTATTCGCCATATACTTAAAAGAGACATTTATTTGCTATATACTTGCTATCTAGCTTCATCCATTCTGCAAAACACAGATTGAATGCTGTCTATTCCATAAAAGTATTCCTTGTTCTC